CACTATTTATATTTGGGTCCTCTATTTTACTATTTAGCTCTTAAAAACTTTAATAAAGATACTAAAATATATAAGAATCATTGATTTAAGTTGGCCGAATTTTCTGAACATTATTGCAAATAATATGGTACATAATTATTAAAAGCGATATAATATCAGTTTTTTAAAAAATTATGCGTGAGTAATATTTAAGTAAATAAATTACAATTCTTCTAAGAAACAAGCATCAAATTTTAAGATTTATCATTTTGCAGGTCAGGCCAGGCTTCACCAAATGAATATTCAGAAACCACGCAAAGGCGAAGAATTTTTCTAAAATAGATTTATTTTCCCAGTTATTCTTAAATATCCAGTTGATTTTCTAATATCACTAATGTCGATTCCATTACTACTTTGCTGATATCCTACGATTTACTGTAAGTACACTATATTAGCACCACAAAAGACGTATCCCAAATTCCCAATTGTAATTGGAAAATATATCCTATGGTAGCTGAAGAAAAACATACCTTCAAAAACTCTAAACGTTATTAACTCAAATTCAATGGTTTCCTCTTTTTTTGATTTTTCAAAAGAACTTTAACACATAATTTGGTTTAATTTATTATTAATCTATTAAAGGATGATCTTTGTCATGCACTGAAATACTGCATACTATAATAAGAGAAATTTTTTATTCCATATTTAAGTTACAGCTATAATGTACTTTCCGCTGCGGATAATGGATTATATTAAATAAATATGAAGAAGAAATTATTGAAGTATTTACATGTTATTTGGAGGATTCAATTTGATGACGACGAAGAACGACGTATTTATGAAACTGATTTAGCTTATTTGCACGAAATAAATAAGGTATCTTAAAATTCTATTTATTTGTTCATTTATTAATAATTTTAATTTTTTAATTTACTATTATATTTAAAGACAAAGGTGTTAGAAGAATCACGCAATAAACCAAAAGGTTATCTATGGTTAAAGAAAATTCGGTCAAATTTCAATTTGTTGGAAAAAATGAAAGATGGTATTACAAACAATTATAATTACGGTAAATCATTCTAATATTAGAACTAAAGGATTCTGAAGTGCGGCGACTTTGTCGCCGCTAGTAGTAATTATTTTTTGTATTATCTAAATTTATGGATGGTAAGATTATGGTGTGATGGTGTATTCTTTTTTGTTTATAAACTATTTACCTAAAATGAACTTGTGATATTATAATTGATTACTATTATTAAAGTAAATATAGTAGATAATTGGAAATTTATGATATGTTTTTCTATTTATGAGTAATAAAAAAAATGTGTAAGTTGATTTTTTTAGAAATAGTTAAAGAACATTTTTTTAGCTATTTAATATATTTTCATAGAATAAAGGAATAGCATTCAAATTTTAATATATTATAGAGTACTTTTTAAATTATGGTCATAATGATTTAATAAATAAGAAATTCAATTTGTTGTAATATTATGCATAAGAATGTTTTATAAATGTATTTAGTGCTTTTATATAAATATATATTTTTATTTATTTATTTATTTTTAATTTATTATGATCTATAAATTTTTTATTATTTAATTACTACATATTTTGGTTTAAATAAAATGGTCTAATTATATGCTTGTAATGGTCTGGAAAATGGCAAAGGTTCAGATGCTTTTACTTCCAATCTTTAATATTCCTTAATCATAAATTTCATAATAAAAAAAAATGATTTATCCTAGAAGTGGAATAACTTACCAATCTTCTGCAATTCTATTAATAAAAAAGATAATTAGCCAATAATTATTTGTAATTAAACAATAATCAGATAACTATTGTTGTTTATGATGATTAATGATAATTATGGAAATTGAACAATAGGTACAATAGATGTTCTTCAAAAAATTATTTAATAAATATTTCACTTAACTGATTTGTCGCAGTATTATCCATCTGATGATCTTTCTATTTCAAGTTAGTGGAGTTTAGTTTTTCCGAATTTGGTCATACCATTTTTAGTATTTTTTTTTAAAAAAAATAAAAAAAAAAAAATTTATAATAATTATTATTTAATTATTATCACTAATAAATAATAATTATTAGAAAAAAATATAGTGAATCTATAGGTATATAAGCATTCCTCCTAAATCTTAATTAATTAATTAATAATTATATAAATAAATGTATATATTTTTATAATTATAAAATTGAAGTAGAAATCAATATAGAAATTTATATAAGAATTTAAAAAAATATCATTTTGTTTGATCATAAAATATAATAAACTAATTTGCAAAAAGTTAATAAATAACATATAAATTACAGTATTAAAATAGTATTTTTAATTTAAAAGTATTTTTTTTATAATCATAATAATAAAAGTATAGTAGGAAATAAAAAATGATTAAAAAATTATAACTTACTATAGAATATCACTAGAAATTTTACTATCCAAATTTAGCTTAATTTTCCCAAAATTGATTATACTATTTTAGTATTGGTGAAGTCATATTTATGACAACACATTTGTTTTTTAAATTAATTAATTAATTAATAATTAATAATTAATAATCAATAATTACGAAAAAATATGATTGTTTTAATTGTATTTTTTTTTATAATATTTATATTTACTAAAAATAATTACTAATTACTAATAAATTATTAATCATTATTTTTAAACAAATAGTTAAACAAATAGTAAAATCTACACATATATAAACAACCGTTGTTCGCAAAAAAAAAAAAAAAAAAAATTTACTAGACGTTTCCNAAAAAAAAAAAAAAAAAATCGCAAAACAGATTTATAAAACATAAAACATATTATAAAACAGATATAGAAATCGATATAGAAATCGATATAGAAATCAATATAGAAATCAACATATAAAACATATACCATAAAAGGAGATTTTTTTTGAAAAAGGAAATCATTTATTACACCAAATGATCCAGCAGTTCGGTAAACAATATGAAAAAATACACTTTAAGGTGGCACAAAATTTTAACAGACCGTCCTTTATTATAGTATGTTAATTAATAAACGATTTTACTTAATAAAATTAATAACTTTACAAACATAATGTATATAAATATAAATATTTTTTTAGACTATTAATTATTTGTCAGAAGTTCCCACCATTTGTTAAACGTTCGCTTTTTAATAATTATATAATTTTTTGGCTAAAAACTGAAAGTATATTACTTCCACGAGAATTTTGGTAAAGTAATAGTAAATATTATTTTGGCGGGTAAAGCCATGTTGTAGTGACATAGGTATATGCAAAGTATTCAAACGAAATTTTTGAACACAATTTATAATAAAAAAAAATACTAGTAATATTTGTTTACATGAAAATTTAAAATTTTCGCTTTATATATAAAATATGTTGCTAAATACTACCATCTATTCTTCATATATACAATTATTTTATAAAGGTAGTGCTTAAGAATATGAATTAACTATTTAAGCAAATTTGATTGTTTAGAAAAAGATAGATTCTAGATTCTCATGAATTTTGTAGTCCTAGAATGACATTTTATTTCAAAAGTAAAAGGATGTATTTTTAATAAATTTAATAATCTTTCTCATAGAATTTATTATTATTATTAATATTAAGTCTATATTTATTATACTCTAGAATATTATACTAACTATTTAATAAATGAATAGAAAAAAAAATAATGTAACAAAACTACAACAAATTTAAATAACTTTGTAAAAAAAAAAGAATTTATTATAAATTATTTACTTTTTTTGAAGTATTTCTAATTTATTTTGTGCATCCGGGTTTCCTTGACTGGCAGATTTTTCATACCAACGAATTGCTTCGTTCATATCTTTTGTAATTCCTCTTCCATGTTCATATATATCTGCAAGATTATATTGTGCCAACATATTTCCTGAATTTGCTGATTTTCGATATAATTCAATTGCTTTTCGCTTATCAACTTTAGTTCCAATACCATTATAATAACAATATCCTAACATTGCTATTCCACCTAAATATTCTCCTTCAGCTGATCGCTTATACAATTCAAAAGCTTTATTATAGTCTTTTTCAACACCATATCCATCTTTATAACATCTACCTAAATTATGCATTGCTACTATATTTCCATTATTTGAAGCTTTTTCATACCAATATAAAGACTTTCTTAAATCTTGTTTAATACCTAGTATTCCATTTTCATAAAAATATCCAATTAATACTTGACCCATAGCTGATTCTTTATTAGCCACTTTTTCATAAAATATAAAAGCTTTTTTTATATCTTTTTTAGTTCCATATCCATATTGATAACATTCACTAACAAAAAATTGTGCTAATAAGTGATCTTTTTCTGATGCATTAATAAATAAGTTAAATGCTTTCTTATTATCTTTATTTTTTTCAATTCCAAAGTAATTAAAATATCCAAGTAAAAAAATGGAATTTGAAGTATTTTGATTATTTAATAACCAATTATAAAATTTTTTTGATTTAGTATTGGAATTATTAAAATATTCAATAACTTTCTCTTTTACTAATTTTGCTTCAATTCCTTTATTTAATGATTTAAAAATTAAATCATTTGTTTCATCAACAGTTACGTTAAAATTTCTTTCGATTGAAATTTTCTCTGGTTTATTTGACTCTACTATAGTATCAATTTCTTTTATATTATTTAAATCAAAATTTTGAATAAATTGAGATAATTCTCCTTGTGAATTTTGTGATTCTGACTTATTGACACTTGAAATGGAACGTGATTTAAAAAATTTTGAATTTTGTGATTCTGACTTATTGACACTTGAAATGGAACGTGATTTAAAATCTTTTGAGTTTTGTGATTCTAACTTATTAACTCTTGAAATGGAACGTGATTTAAAATCTTTTGAGTTTGGTGATTCTGACTTATTGACTCTTGAAATGGAACGTGATTTTGAGTTTTTGCCCGATAATCGAGGATTTTCTGTTTTCGTAATTATTGCTTTTAACAAATCAACTACTTCATTTATGGTTGGACGATTATCTGGTTCACCATCCCAACATTCTAAAAAATAAATATAATTTAATATTAGCTAAAATAATATTTTAAATCATAATTAAATTTAAAATTTTACTTACTGGTATAAATACTTTCATATTTTACAAGTGTGCCAGGGACAACAGTTTCTCTTTGACCTCGAAAAATGTTCAAAGCCAGGCAAATATCATAACTTTTATCTTCAACATAAAAAGGAGGTTTTCCACTGGATATTTCCCATAATAATACGCCAACACTGTAAACATCACTTTTTTCATTTAATGAAGACATTTGTGATGGGTTATTGCCAAAGATTTTCGGATCAATATAAGGAACACTTCCAAATAATTTAGATTGAATATTGGATGATGCTCCAATTCTTTTTGACAATCCAAAATCTGCTAATTTGATTGTGTTGTTACGGACTAATATATTACCGGAGTGCTATTTAAAAAAATATATATATTAAATTAAGTAATGCAAAGTATAATAATTTATTGACCATTAAATAATGTTAAAATATTTTACCAAATCACGATGCACTATTTCTTCACCATGTAAGCATGATACGGCACAAGATAACTGGTACGCCATATTATATTTGTCATCCCAAGTGAGGTTACTAAAGTTTTTTTTCAAATAACTTCGAAGACTACCACCATCGGCGTATTCCATCACTAATAAATAATTATGATTATTTTCTAAATAAATAAAATAAAAAAATCATTAAAATGAATTTTTACAATTAAAAGAATAATATATTTATTAAAGTAACTATATAATACCTGACTCAAGTTTTGATATTCCAAGGCAACGAATAATATTATCATGAAAGTCAACTTCACGTTGATTTTTTAACTAAATAAAATTGAAATTTTTCGAAATAAATATTTTGAGTTTAAAATCATGGACGAAAAAAAAAAAAGGTATTATACGCTAAATTACCTCACGAACGATTTCTTCCATAGTGACGTTATCAAGAACAAAAAAAGATTTTATCGCCAATGGTTTTTCTAAATCTTTCCAATTAGCACGATATACTTTTCCAAAACCTCCGGCACCAATTTGTTCAATATTCTTAAATTCTTTGTATTCGTAAAATTTTATAAGTTTATTGTCGACAGCTTCCTCAATCCAAGTAGTCGATTCATTAATATTTTTTGTACCAGACATATTTAATAATAAAATTCGACAGAAAAGTTTTTAAAAACAATAAAATTGAACGGTCAAAGTTGTAAAATTTATTGAGTATGTTAAAAAAGAAAACTGAAAGAGGAACAATTTAAATAACCCTTTTATAACAGATTTTTCCAATTATCGTCACAAACAAATAAAAAAGAAACTGATAGGAACAACGAAATAACCTATTTGTAATAAAATTTCTCCATGAACAAGAAATGAATATCCCCTTTGTGACAGATTTGTTATTGTCACGAACAAGGGAAAAAGGAGGAACAACGAAAATAATCCTTTGTAACACATTTCTCTGATTATTTTCGCAAACAAGGAAGGAGGAACAATAATAATAACCCTTTGTAACAGAATATCGTCGCACAACTTTCCTGTCTATCATTAGCCGCAGTACCGCAGTAATGACAAACTACCATTAATACGAGGCCCATCAAAGATGGAACCGCCACGCCTTTTAATTTCCAGAAGCCGTTTGGCTCAGCCTTGTTGACTAAACTATTAAAGTGGAATCCTAAAGGTAAGGTAAGAAAAATAAAAAAAAATTCATCCTATTAACTATTACTTGTTTATCTTTCGCCAAAAGTGCCACACGTAAATGTTGCCAGGTATGGAGGCGCCAGGTGTGTATAGGGATTACCGCTTTATTATTAAGTTTTATAAAAGGCTAAAGAAGTATGATGCTGCTACTTTGATAATATCAAGCACAATATCAAGCGACGCGACGATCGCGACGTTTCCTAAAAGTGTGATCAACGATCAGCAAATTTCCAACACGTGACATTTAACCATACGTCAAATATCCCTTATGACAGATCAGTTTGAATCTTCGCTAGCGAATTTGAGATGAAAACCTGAGAATCGTTATATCGAAAGCTGAAAATTTATTCTGATCAGACATTTCGAATCCTACGTTGTTGGGTGTTATGGAGGTTATATTTTCCATTTGGATGACTTTCTTTCAAGCGGTTGCCTGATTCTATAATGTTTTTATTCGGTAATCATATAATGTTATCTCACAAATTAATGCAATGAAGTGTTTTTAAAATAGTCGTAAGAAATAAAATCCAAGGCGACCTATAAAAAAATTGGATACGTTTTTTATATGGTTTTTATACGATTTTTTGTCCTTAGAAATAACGTATCATAATAGGATACGGAAAAATGCACAATTCCGTATCACTAAAAATACGGAATTCATATGGAATTTACATGATTTGATCACTGATTTTATCACGAAATTTATACGATTTGGTCACTGAATTTACTATTTGTATTACAGTTTACTATAATTATATTTACATAAATCTAAT